CTGAACAATTCTTTGTCGGTATTCTCAGATACGCTTCGGGAAAAATCTTTGAAAATTGATATCATGAAACCTGAATTGTGCGCAACACGGTCGAAAAGGCAGCTTTGACGAAACTTTTAAATTAAGTTAAGTCTTTCGAGATATTCTGAAATCCCCAATGAAAGGTCATGATAATTTTCCCTGAGGCAGTTTCGTCTTCAATCGGAAACGCCGAATCAAATGTGGAGCAGCATACACTTATGTCGCGGTCTGATCAATGCGAAGATTTTAAATTGAATTTAATCAAGCATATAACTGAAATTAAGAGGGATTTCCTACTCATTCGCGGAAATTAAAAATGCATATTCGCAAGAACACAAACCGGTACTGTACTGGACTTTTCAAATGCTCGAATGATTCCTTACACAAACCGGTACTGTACTGGAATTTTCGAATGATTCGTTCGGTAGATCGTTCAAAACTGTGCAAGTTGGATCAAAGGTAAAGGAAGCGTGAGGATATCTTCGAAATTTTTACACCACACTCATAAACATTCAAGAAATTCCGGATTTTAATGTTCACAAAACGAAGTTAATGTGCAACGAACACTTACCAAAACCAGCCCGAAGGGACACATATTCTGCATATCCCGAAATATCCCTCGAACTTGAGCAGCTCCCATCAAATACGTATTCGAGGAATAAATTGCAATTTCACGCGTTCAGATCAGGAATTACAGAAGGTTTGTTGAGGATATTAGACCAAAACTGAAAATTTTAATTGGATAAAATTATACTGTACTTCCAGGCTACCGAACAACGCGCATGCCGACACGAACGTTGATTGCATAATCCGGGAATCAGTGAGATTTTACGATCGTCACTGCTCCCTTGAATGCATCACCCAACGGATACAATGTCGACGCGGGACTGATGTAAATATTTGATAGCATTTCTGGTATTATGCAGCAAGTTACCCTCTAATCTTTCGAAGAATCAAAAAGTAAGCTTATTAATATACTGTACTGTACTGTATACGGTATTCGCGAGACTTCCCGATTTGAATCGGATAAAGCAGATCAGACACAGATTTATTCATCGGTAAGCTAGTAAAAAAGCTGAAATCAACCAGACCTCAGCTAATTTGTAGGACTCAGTACAAAACAGTCAAACCTCGCTTTAGGGCCATAATTTCCTCAGGCACATCTTGTGGCACTAAATCAAGGGTATTGCAAGAAAAAGGTTCAATTGGCTGTTTATTTTGTCAGCAAAGTACACTTGTTTTCAGAATTGTTAGGCCTCTGAGTCTGTTCGCACAATAGGAAGCCACAAGAAATGAGCTGAAGCTCAAACGTACTGTTTTTTTATATTTTACTGCAATTTAAAATAGGTATCAAGACAGAACGCATTAGATTCACAGATTGTTATGCATATTGCGTCTAGCAAACGATCAGAGTTATTTCTCAAGATTTTGCGCGGATTTGAATTTCACATCAGGAATCAGAAATGTTTCTGGGGAGGCTACCCCTTTTTTTAAATTCTCAATGACAGAAAGTGTCATTCAGCAACAGAAATATTTTCAACTAGGCAATTCAAAAAAAAAAAAATGTTAGACATTGTCCTGAGTTCTTATGTGAGGAGGGGGATGTGATTTGCAGTATAAATCCAACAATTTTCCTACTAATTATTTTCAAGCTCAAATGCACTGTTTTTAAACTACTGCATATTCAATTTATTTAATAATGCAGGAAATACAGTGAGACCCTGAGATGCGGCCATAATTGGTGCATCAAGAGTGTCCCGAAGTCAAACTGTCCCCAAGTTGAGTCTTGTTTTCCCATAGACTTACATTATATAATTTTTAATTTATGTTTTATCGAGGGAATACACTTCAGAATTCCATGAAAAAAATTATTTGCCGCTTGAATTTGAAATAATGAATACATTTTCAACTCAATAAGAACATTTGGAGAATTGAATAGTGTATCTCTGTACTGTACATTGAAATGTTGGCATCTACAAAAATAACATTCAAGTGAAAAAAATGTAGAAGTCCCTCTATGCTGTAGGTAATTTTTTTAAATTAGCTAAATGGATGGAAAATTGGCGAGAAAAATGTCCAAGAACTTTTCTTACATCAATTTTAGGATTGGAAATATCTGTTTCTTGTAATTTGGCCTGAAATGTATTTGAAATTTTATCACAAAATGTCCCAAAGTTGAGTCAGTGTCCTCATGTCTGGCCTTTTTTATTAATTTTTTCAGGGAAAATAAGTGTCCCTATGTTGAATTATCTGTAGGTCGGGGTGTCCGCATGTGGGGGTTTCACTGGATTTTTGCATATAGAGTATTTTGTCAAGTACAAGAGCAGAGCTGCTTCCAAAAGTTTTGTTTCAACCTTCCAATGAAAACACACATTTCCAAGACCAGGTAAAATGATTCTAAGTTTTAATGAGACAATCCCAGTTATGAAGATGATCTTCGTTGTGGAGGACATCCAAAAAATACCACCCAATGGAATTGAACTTGGGAAAAATATTTCTTAAAATTATCTTCAGCATAGGCATGTTCTCCTCCGTAATAAACTGATCAAAATTCTAAAAAAAATAATTTCTTAGATTCGGGCGCATTTTTCAAGACATTTTTTGTGGCTCTAAGTGAGTTGGCCTTAAACTGGCGGTTTTCCCGCACGAACATTAGTTCAAAGGAAATTTGCGACACTATACGATGGTGACATTAAACCGAGGCTTGACAGTACTGTACACGAAACTCCGACATCCTGCTCATTGGTATGGAGCACCCGAACTCATGCAACGACACGGGCAATAGTTCCTTACAGATGGAATAACTAAGCCCACTGGTGTTTCATCATGGGTATAATACTATACATTCGAAATGAAGAAAGCCAACTGGTGTGGAAACATCCGCAACAAGATCTTATTGTCCGGTATCCAGTATTCATGGACATACCTTAAATTTACACTAGTTCGGCGAACACAACAAAAACGTATTCAGCGCAAGCGTAGATTGTAATGTTCGTACTAGGAATATACCTGGCTTAGTTCACGATGAATAATTAGTTCGAGCTTGAAACCGGAAACAATAACAACCCCATCAAATGATTAGGAAACGAATTTCACGCGACAAAATTGGAAAGCAAAGCAACTCTTCTATCGTAACCATAAGTCGTTTCACCCAATTAAGCCGAAGACATTCAACATGTTATGCACACATAAACTCGTTTATTACGGGAATAAAAAACTCTCAACGACACGCGAACATGCGGAAGAAGTTTCCCTTCATTTCATGAAATGGTACCCGCCTATACAGTGCACCATCCGGTACACTCTTATACAAATATTGTACATCAGTATTATTGTGGCTTAAAACTGTTTATATATTTTGCCCTTGGAAAATTCTAATCCCCGGTGTCATTCAAGACAGAAGTAGCACTGCCTATTGCACACTTCCGTCATCTCTCAACATGTTTGGGAAAACACGATGAGAAGACGGAGTTTCCCGTCATTATGTGAGCAATACAAGGGGAACTCGTTAACTCTGGAACCACCAAAACCTCCCGAATTTCAATCTATTCTAGTCCCTGTCCAAAGATCCTTGAGGTCGTGAGATTCCCGAACTCAAAAATTTGAAGAAACATGCTGAAGGCAAGAAATTTAAATGATAAGGCGTTTGCCAAGGAAAATTTGAGCAACTTCAAATTGGTCCATAAAAGTCTGGCTTCAGGTTATACTGTACTCATTCCCACTGCAGGTTCTCGTGGTTGACTTTTTTCATGCAGTGGGAATAATTGAGTAACTGCTCTTGGATACACCACACACAGTTGCAGAAAAAAATTGTCAGCCCCGATTACTTCTTCCGACATTTACAGCAAGCATTTTCAAACCTAGTTTCCCAACACTCCCCAAATTCGTCTCCAAGTCGAATTTCTTTCCATGTCCCATCAAAGTCGACTTGCAGTATTCCTTCGATAATCTTCGGGCATTGATACACACACATTGAAAATGAAATTTCCGTCTCCAATATTGAGAACATACGGATCTGCCTCGTCCAAATGAAAGGTCATGCAGTGGATGCATTACAGTCGAACCTCTTCGAGTGGAACTTCAAGGGACCAGCAAAAATATTCGGGTTAGGTATAGGTTTCGAGTTCGGGGAAACGAACAATTGCGTTATAGGGAAACGAACGAAATAATAATTACTGGAAATTGCGTAATCGGTGATATTCCGGCCTTGAATTGCTGCTAAATTCAGTCAACTAAATTCTGTTACTTCTTTTCAGAAGACACCAAGTTACACTTTTGCGGCTTTTTCCCAAGTTTTCCTGCGCCAATTAAATGATAGCCAAAAGGCCTCCAGAACACTCGGAGTCATGGAGGCTTGAAGGCCTTCGAGTTAGCGAGGTATTTTAATGTACTGTTCCAAAGGGAGAATCCAGACACACTTGACTGTATTTGTCTGGAGGAGGTTTAAGTTATCAAGGTTCAACAGCATCATGATGTCGATACGCGTGATGAGACACTGTGAACACGGGCTTTTTCGTACCCACTCCAAGAATAGAGTTGCGTTGGTGCTTGATTCGGATCAAGGGCAAAGATGCGCACGTCTTTACTGTATCGTACCGTACTTCACTTTTCCACATTCAAATTCACGGTTCTTCGAGTTCGCCACCGAATCAACTCACAAATATCGCCCTCATTTCACGCTGATTACTTCAGCCACACACACACACACTTTCATTCACATCCGGCGGCCCCGATTCGAACAGCTTCTCATATTCTCGCTCGTGCGTGGCTCGAAAGCATCTCGCGCGTATACCACCACCGGCTCAGAAAAAAATAAGCTCGTCGGCATGAAATGAAATCCTCCGGATTTCCTGCGATCCACACTGCATATCACGTACGTACAACCCCGCATCTAGGGCAGATCACGTCCAGGATTAGCCAGCCAGCCCCGGCGGGTCGGGTCGGAAGAACTCCCGTGGAAAAAATGAACGCAACCCACACTACGATGCACTGCACACGGGCACACAGACAGCCCAGAGCACCAGCCCTGACCGCGCCACACACACGCTAGCGGGCCTTCTGACCATGTCCCCGAGTTCCAACGCTCGGTTCAACCTGTCTGCTCCTCTCCCGGCACGTCGCTCTCTGGGAGGGACGTGCTGGTCGCGGTTGAGGGTCTTGCGCAAGGCGCGGCAATGCACAGCGCGGGCATCACGACTCGTCGGGGTGCGCAATTTCACACCCGGGTATATAACTGGCCCGAGATCCCGATTTAACCCCCTTCACCGTTTCAAGACACGGTGAGACGAACGCGGGGTCGCCATCGTGTTTCATCGGGGGCGGTCCCCAGGGTGTGGAAGAAGAGTACAGTACGGTACAGTAATTCCATTACTGTGCGGTTGGGTCCCGAGATGCGGACGTAATTGTTCCTTCATTGGACCTTGTGCCTATGTCACATCGTCCGCATGCCGGGTCGCGTTTTTCCGCAGACTTAAATCGGGGCCCATGTGTCACGGGCTCTCTCTTTTTTTTAAATAAAAATTAGGAAAGAGTTTCCCAAAATAATGAATACAATTTTCTTCTGAACATATAGATAGGGAAAAATACTGTTCTGAAGAAATCCATGCGTAGAATCTGATTTTTTGGTACGAAAAAGAGCGGGAAAAGAAATTTTTGAAACACAATTCTGGCTAACCGTTCGAAAATGATTGAGAAGTTTCTAAAAAAATAGTAAAAAAAATGGCTTGTTTCGGATTAAATATTGAGTTTATTTCTGAAAAAATTCACGTTTTCTGAAGATAGAGAGCTCAATTTGTAGTAAATTTTTGACAAAATTAATTTTTGCGAAGATAAATACAGTAGCTCACTTCGTTCAAGAGATGTAGAACATTTTTTAAAATCCATCCTTCTACAAATTTTGGTCAAATGTCCGTATATTGAGACACTTTCCTGATGTTGGGGCAGATCTGTTTCATTATCCAATGCACCTAGTTCAAATCGTCCGTATGTCGGGGTGTCAGTACTTCAGAGCCCAACTGTACTTCTAAGATTGCGCTCATAGGCTAAAACATCAACATATTTCCCCACGGGAAATTGACTTCAATGGAAAATTGGCTTCAGCTTCTCCTATTTTTTTTTACAAAATATCGAAAAATTACTCCACAAATTAATAAAGACATTGAAGTAAGACTCTTTCTACAACCATTTCCAATATATAACGAATTGTTTTGGTTCCTCATGGGGTGTTTCCCCATTTTTAATTAAGGGAGTTTGGGTAACAAAATACTGTCTTCAAAAAATGTTATTTTCCCCTGAAATCTAAAACAAAACCAATCTCTCTCAACAGCAGAACATTTGTTTCAGATGAAATTATGTTTCACAGAGAGAGTCCATCTCCATTGCTAATTTTAAAACACAGAAAATAACTGAGCAGAAAAAACACACATCCAATCTTCCATTTTGGTATGGAAAAGAGTCTTAAAGGCAAAAAAAAGGCCAATATACTGCTGCAGATATACAATACAGTTGATGGGAAAATCTCTGAAAAGAGAACTATAAAATTAGCCTGCTTTTGGAAAATAAATGGGAGTTTAAGCAGCCTACACCTTCAAACATAAAACATACACAAAACTAGATAGACTGTAATGTAGCTATGTGCAAAATGGTCGCAAATCCTATCTCAAATGGAGACACTGTGATGCAAAAGAATCAAATTTAGTTCCCTTCCAAGACACACCAGTGCAAAAGAAATTGTAAATCACCGAATAAAAAGCAAAACCACGCAGATATTGTTCCATTGCAGTGATTTCGACCGTATTTACTCCAGTAGAACAATAAGCAATCACTGGTCAATATTTTAAATGCTAGTTCAAGGCATACAACACACAGGAAAGACTTCTTGGGATGTTTGCACTCGACCAAATCAATGTTTGTCAACTAAGTCAGTATTTGTTATAGCCAAAGCAGCCAGGTCCAAAGAAAATGCTTGTTATCCAGGAAGTTCTTTTTTTTTTTTTTGCTGTGACTCCACTGCCCTTTACTGTGCAGCAGAACAGGTGGGTTATGTAATATTCTAGCTATCTAGAACATTCCGAAAGTTCTGCCTGAATAAAGGAAAGATGAAATAAAGCAATCACGTTAAATGAATGAACAGTATTTTTTTTTTTACAATGAACATACGCCGTTTAACATTGAGTCCGAAGTTGACTCATGGACCACCACGAGTTGTTCAAGTTCAGAGAAATGAGCCTTGGGGAACCTGACGCTCTTTCCATATCCTGGCACGCCACTTCTAGAGTGAGTCAACCTTGATGGGCGATGGCTTACCAGATTTTCCGTCAACGCATAGACTAAGCGAGAGAACAGGGAGGAAGATTTTTCAGACCCTCGGTATATATAAGTTTCAACAGTTGAAGGAGAACTGGCTTTTTTGAAAGGCATTCTTGCGGGAATCATTACTGAGATACTTTTTTTTCTAAGTGAGCTTCAAAAGATGAAAATCACAATCCAAACATTTTAAAATACAGTTGAACCAATGAGTCGAACCTGCCCGAGTCAATTACGTCAGCAATTCAAATTTTTCCAAGTCCCCCTCTGGATTCCCTTGGGAACAAGGCATTGAAAACCTCTGCAAGTCAAAGGCTTTTCTTCTAAATCCTCCATAACAATAATTTTCTCAGGCATTTTTGGCTACTATTTTCTTGACAGAGGAAAGAGAAAAGCAATTAAGAGAGCTGGTTTTTGTCTTTTGTAAGGAAGTGAAAGACTAGTTGGGCAAATGAACCCTTGTCATCAAGTTCAGCATCCTGTAAACTTATTCAAGAAGCTATTCAAGGCCCTGATTATTATCAATTACAATTTCTGGCATTTCTTCTATCTTTCCCACAGTAAAAACACTTGCTTCCCTAACTCAAAACCTCCCTCAACTGAGTCAAATTAGTTAGTAGTCCTTTTAAATTTGACTTGGAGAGGTTCAACTGTAATTGTCAAACCCACCAGTAACCTATCCCCTGAAATTCCAGAAAAAAAAACCTAGAAAAATTTGAATGCTATAAATTTAAATTTCACTTGAGATAACGCTTATTGTAACCTCTTTGGAATGGTGAATGTAATGTCAACAAATAGTTTTCACAATCCATGTCTTGTTAGCAGACAACGCACAAGGCAGTTGGGTATCCCACAAAGCCCTGTTAAGTCACATGCTACCAAGTTACACAACTTGGCCAAAAACTAGGTCAGATCCAGGTCTGACCAATCCTGCCCAATTCTACACTGCAAAGTCAATAGAGACATATGTTCTTTGTTGCATGTGCACTCATTGCTCTCTGGACCTTGTTCATATACATACATTGTTTGCCCATTCTTGGGGAATGCGGAAATAATCACTCACATCTTTTTATAAGAATCTTGAATAGTCTTCACTAGAATTAACCCGGCAACAAGGAATATAAATCTCTTTGCTATTGAAGTTGTCAGATCTAGATCAAAAATATCTTACAATGGTAAGTATTCAAGGATAAACACTAAAGAGACATCTAGAGAACCTTAAATCTTAATTCCATTTTTAATTAAGGTCTTATGACAGTAGTAAATTCAATTGAAGTCAAACTGTGGTTAAAATGGCTCTAGGAAATAAACTGATACTTTATGGTGGCTAAAACAAATATGCATTCCAACTTGTCAAAGAATCCGTCATGAAGCTTCGTTTTCTTCTGTATCAATGGCGTGAAAAGTTTTACTACAGTATGTTGTAGCATGCTTAATTCAGCTTGGCAAACTTGCTTATGACCCGAATTAAACCTCTTAAAATACATGTCAACTTTTTTCGGGGTTCTTCCCACTAGATTCAACATGCTATTCATGCTGATAAAATTGAATTTTAAAAAATTGGCATTACTAGAACAATTCTTGGGTGAACTTTGATACGACATTTTTGACGACGATGGCTCCCAGTGTTCAAGAGAAGTCGTTTGAAATCTGATCCATTTTTCTCCAGTCCACGTGAAACACTCGAAAGCTGATGCTCAATAAATTTTCGGAACGCATCTCTAACTGAATTTTCATTTGGTATTTGTGCTGAATTTGACAAAAGTTTGGATTTCCTCGATGAGCGCAGCACAGTATTGTACCATTCTCCACAGCACTAATTTTGCTTTAATTCAAAACCGTGGGGGGGGGGGGGGATTGAAACGGTGAACTTTTTCATTTTCGAACCCCACGTAATCATGCATACAAGGACTGAATTATGTTTTTCAGAGCCTGAAACACTTTAACATTCTTGATAGGAATACAAAATGGCTCATGGCTGTACAGAGAATAATTTGTACAGTGAGGCCTTATAGAGGCCTTATACGCAAATAACCTAATCCATTTCAGCGGCTGGTTTGTCAGTCAAAACACTTTTTGTTCAAGCCAGGATTTCCAGAAGTGACCTAAAGGAAACCATTTACTTTATTCAAGCCAGATTGGGTAGTATTGAGAAATGAAAGAAATTGTTTGAAAAATAAATGAACGAGTAGCCACTAAGAATTCCAACTTGAAAAGGATTTATAGCAGGTTAACTTGGAGAGAAGAGGAATCCAAATATTTTACATATCTAGTAAATTTGAATTTTTCTTTAATATCTCTTGAAATTGTACCATATGTTCAATATACAGCATTGATGAAAATTGGAATTCAAGAATGCAAACCATTCAGGGTTTTGATGCAGTAATAACTGTTCACATTCACTTGAGGTTTGTTCTTCAAGTCAAGCTTGTTGCCTCAGGCAAATTAGAGGACATGGGTGGGTTTGTTAACCCTTGGATGGAGGAGGGTTCTTTCTCAGTGCACAGAAGAGTTGAGATTTTTCCAGGGGGCTGCGCATTTCAGTTTGACCCAAGGTTACTGAAATGCGCCCAGGTTGAGGAGGCCTAAGTCAGGAAAAATCCAGGAGGCAAATTTTCTTTTGTTTACAAGATTTTCCCATGCAAATCCTATGCCAGGAATGCGGGAAAAAATGCCACCCAGCAAGGGATTTTTAAAAATGTTCATTGAAAATTTTCTGCAGGATTAGAAAACACTCTTGGACTTTTCCCCAACTTAGCCCTTGGTAAGAAAGTAGGTTTATTTTTATTCCCAGTTCCCAGTGGCAAAACATTTTCCAAAAATATCCCAACTTTGCTGCACAAGGGTTAAGTTAGAAGTTTGCTGCTTAGAGGATTCAATTCTAGAGACCTCTCTGTACCAGAATACAAGCGTTGTCCCACTTGGGCGCGACTTGGTTATTTCTAGGGATAGGTATGACAGCAAAAAATCTATCATGTCGCCCATGATGTAAGGTTTTCAGATATTTTTAGAATTCAGGACAATTTTTCAATGTTTACTGCATGATGATGAAAGAAAACTGTCCAGTTGAAGTCAAAGTTCCTCACACATGTTGCAGGGCGCTGAAAATGTTCAGACCAGCTAAAAAAATGGAACTTTGTTGTTGTAACCACTAACCAGTATCTACCTCAATTTTACACATGGTTTCTCTAGTTAAACAACAGTGAAATTTCAATTTTCAGCTTACCTGACAAATTTTCATCAGCCTGTGACATGGATGGAGAACTCTGGCTGTAACTGGGAAGTTTTCACTCATCATCACACAGTAAATCGAAAACTTTTCTTAAAAATCCTAAAAAAAAACCACCTTGAAAAATTATGCGCTACGTCATTAAGGTTTTTTTCAAACACGCCTACTCTAAAGATAACCAAGATCGCGCCAAGGTTTGGCAACCCTCGTAATATGCCAAGCTCATGACAAGACAATGACTCATACACAAGCCAAAGCATTCATAGTCAAGCTGTTGACTAAACTGCCCAAAATACAGTACAGTACTGTACTTGATTTTCCACCAAGCGGATTCCGGTCGATAAATCCGATTCATGCAGCACAGAACAGCAGCGAAAATCAAGCAGGCAGCTCAAGCCTATCTTTCCATGCTATCAGGATCCACTGAACATTTTATACTCACTGAAGGACCTCTGGGTATTTTTTCCGCTTCCCTGGCGAGAAAAACGACTTCAAATTCGGAGGCCAAGGAGCCATTGAGGAAAAAGGGCCGCCACCCGGAAGATGATCAATCTCGATTTCTACACAAACCCTGTTAGTGTAGCCATCGTCACAATAAGCACCCGCGGGAAATTTCATGTTCGCGGCAAAAACCACTACGAAAGGCACACGAAAACCTGCGACGAGAATCAACAGATCTATACATGAATACAAATCCCTTCACGCTCTCCAAGTTCAAGATGGACCAGTTTCAAATATCCACCACTCGTAAACCGCTACACAGAAAACCCGTTTTCGACATTCATGATATGTCTTATAGATGAAATACTTTCACACTGAATGTTCAGAGACCAAGACTGGCAAGAATCCCAAAAATTTGAATGAACAATAAGCGAAGATGCCCCGACCGAGAAAACGAGGACAGTCGCAAGGAAAGCAATTCAAGCGGATATTTGAAAATGACCATCTACAAAGTGATCGAGAAGAAGAAACACAATAGATACCGTGGTTCCACATACAAAGCCCACAATCAGGTTCGCAAATATAATTGCATAAAAATGTTTCGCAATGACCCACGTTCTGCGAAAGCGTTCAATCCACAATAAAAAACGAAGCACTTCGTGAACACATGATTTCGTATCACAAGACTCAATATTTATCGTCTTTTCAGAAAACAGGGACAAAAAAGAAAAGAGGCCCAACAAAATTGTCACACATCTCGCAATGAATGCTTTACTTCGTGAATTCTATAAAAACTTTCAATAACAATCGATGCTTTCACAAGGTGGGTCCTATTTACAGAGATAAGAATTTCGCTCACGCGTATGAGCGCACTCTGCATTTCGCATGAATTCAAGGACAACCTCGCTGACATCTCACGATCATGCATCCGGTTTCCCTGAAAAATAAGAATTGATTTAAATTGAAAATTCTTAAAATGCACGTTTTTTTTTTCAGAAAAACTTCAGCAATCATTGCAGAGAAAAACTCCATCATGATGGGGTTGCGTTGTATATGGACCAAAAACTTGAAACTCATATGAGAATATCTTTCTTTTTAATGCTCATCGTTCTCTAAAAAAATCTTGAATTTTTTTACTCTTTTTTCAATTATTTTTCACACAAAAATGTCATTACAGTAGCTTGTAAAGTTAAAAAAGGCTATACAGAACAATGGAGTTAATTCTATTATTTTTTTCAGAAAAATATTTTGGCTTCAAATTCGCAGGAATATTTCTGAGGTTGCGTTTTCTTTTCATAGAGGTGACTCGAAATACAGTCAAACTTTTTATTTAAGTCGTATTTCCAGGGACCAGCAAACAATTTGGGTCAGGAAGGCTTTGTATTAGAGAAACAGGCATTTTTGTCAGGGAAAAGAACAATGATTCCCAGAAAATTGTAATTGGGGATTTAATTGCTTCTTGAATGAGTTGACAGGATGCTGAACTTGGTGACAAACGTTCATTTGCACAATTATCTTTCACTTCCTTTAAAAAAACACTCACATTACATTTCCATGGCTTTTCTCTTTCTTGTGTCAGTAAAATAATAGCCAAAAGGCCTCTAAAAAATTCCAAGTAAGGAGGTTTGAGGAGGCAGGTCTTTGATGCAGGGAGACTTTCAATGCATTGTTTCTAAAGAAATTTAGAAAGGGACTCGCAAAAAGTTTTGACGTAGGGAGGCGACTGAGAATGGTTCAACTTATTGAGGTTCAACTGTGTGTGCTATATATACAGTAAAATCTTGTTACAACAAATACGGTTACAATAAAATTTTCAGTATAACAAACTTTTTTCAAGTCCCAGCAGAAATCTTTTTGGGTACATGTTATAAAATTTCATTACAACAAACTGTCAATTCAAGTATAACAAACTTTCTTGAGGAACATTCTACAATTTCTCAATTAAAAATCCATAATGGAGGCAGGCACAGTCTCACATTTCCCATTTCAAATGTGACTGATTCTTGGAACATAAGGAGGAATCAAGCAAACAAATTCTTTGGAGTTCACCTGAAAATCCTCTCCTTCAAAAATTATTCTTATGATGGGAATTATGGTGGGAGGGGGGGGGGCGATTAGATGGAAAAAATGAGCCAAGCAATCCTAAAGTTAAAAAGGGTTTGTATGCTTGAGAAATGCTAGTGATGTAAAAATTGTTAGCAATTTTGGAACATTCACCCTTACAAATCTTTGCAGGAATTGCTTTAAAAAACTTGGGTCAAGAAGGTGTGCTAGTATTTACCTGTTACTCAGAGTATCTGTTTTTTTAAATAAACAATTACAGTACATTCCTTTTTGAAGAACACCGTTTTTTAACCATGGGGAAAACATTTGAGAAAGCCACAAAAGGAAGATGTTGAATATATGTAGTCTAATTTGAAGAAAATCTTTGAATCAGTCAATAATTTTCAGAATCTCATAACAAATTATTTGTTACAACAAAGTTTTTCTGAAGTCCCCACAAGTTTGTTGCAATGAGATTTTCTTGTACTTACTTCCGTGACAGATAATATTTTCGGGGAAACAAGGCACTTCAGTTTATAAATAAAGAATAAATCCCACCAGACAACAGCCCACAACGTTTTCAAGAATTGTTCAGTGGCTCCGTGACAAAAAAAGAGGATAAATTATATTGGATGTCTTTCCACAGTCACTGCATGGAGTCGAGGGGCTCATCCAAAACGAATCAAAGACCTTCGCGAACTAGGATCCCATCTCACAGTTTTATCTTCGTCCGATCAGCAGATTGGCCCTGTACGTGTGAAAATCAGGATCAAGAGTCGGTCCCATTGAAGAAAAACGAAGATCCGAATCCATGGCTGATAGATCCCACATGGAAAAGAAATGCTGCGAAATTCAATAACGAAGAGGAGATCACAAACAAATTTCAACGGCAAGTAAAAAAAAAAAAAAAACTCTAGCTCGAATGCTCCTTTTTTTAAATCACGGCACCTTTCTGAATGGCATGAGAAAACTACTAGCGAATAAATCTACATCCTATTTACACGAAGGTCACACGTCCGTGGGAAACACAAATACAAAAATATGGTCATCAAAAGAAAACTCGCCGAAACTTCAGCTTCCTCGTCCGTTTCTACAGGCATTTTAGTTTCTTCCGGATCTGTGTACTCCTGTGTGAAAAACCCTTGTGGACAAATGGAGAAAACCACTTTTCCGGGAAACAAATTTATATTGTACTGCATATACGAGGGTTCTAACAAAAGTTCTCGGAATGAAAATGAAAATGGCGTCTGATCGAGCTGAAAAAAAATAATTCTTTAGGGCAAACATATTCTTCGGCACAAAAAAAATCAGCCGTGTTTGGAAATTTTTTAAAATTTTTTGCAAAATTCGCTCTGGCAGAGTTTTGCTATACACTCAACAGTTGAGGCACCCTTCCTGCAGTTTTTTTTTTTTGTGGCACAGCTTTCCCCTCAGAATTCTTGAAATCAACTTGGCATTCTTTCCAAGGGTCATCCAAGGCAATTCCGCCATATTCTTGGATGACCAGCTGGAGGCAACCCTTAGCAAGAATGCCAAGTTGATTTTTCATCTGTTGAGTGTATAGCAAAACTCTGCCAGGGTGAATTTTGAAAAAAAAATTTTAAAATTGTCAAACAGGGCTGATTTTTTTGTGCCGAAGAATATGTTTGCCCTAAAGAATAATTTTTTTCAGCTCGATCAGACGCCATTTTCATTTTCATTCCGAGAACTTTTGTTAGAACCCTCGTACATACGGTGATACGCATGATTTAAACCTCAATTTAGTACCATTATTTATCCTGGAACATGTTTGGCACTGAGCAAGGGTATTGTAAGAGAGAAAGGTTAATTTTAGGGTTTCTATTGTAGACAAAATTACTTTTTTTTACAGAATTTTCAATATCCGAGTATTTTTTTTTTAAAGAGAAAGCCACAAGACATAGCTTGGAGCTCAAATGTACTGAATTTTTCACTGTATTTAAAAATATTTATCGAGACAAAATACAGAGCTGTACTTCATATTTTTACACATTTTGCGTCTAATAAAAGAGCAGAGCTGATGCGTAAGATTTTGTTCGCACTTGAGTCTCATGCCATGTATACAGTAGTATCATCATGCAGGGATCACCAACGTTTTCAGGGAATTTTCCACTTTTTTATTCGTTGAAATGAAGGAAGGTGCCATGCAACAACAAAATTATTTCAAAAAAATTTAATTCAGATACACAATATTCAAAATTATCCTGCGTTTCTATGCAAGCATGGAAATCTGATTCCCAGCAATAACACAATCATATCCCTAGTTCTTTGATTTTGTCCCATTTTATCATTCAGGACAAGTTGTATTTATTTGGCAATGTATCCGAATTTCCCTCAAGAACACAGTTCAGGGAGATTTGCTCCATGGGAATTTGTGGCACTATGTGAGGTTGGCAATAATTTGTGGGTTGATGTACAGTACTATACAAATGTATTTTAAAATATCTTGGAGCACTGTTCCCAACCTGCAGTCCGCAGACTGGTGCCCGTCTGCAAAAGTTTTTTGCAGGTCCACTGACATTTTCTTCAGCATAATAAATTCATCAAAAATAGCAATGAGGTCTGTTATACATATCTGAAATTTTGGAAAGACAATGGCAATTGAAATTATTTCCTCCAAACAAAACTTCAGAAAAGTTTCATCCTGCAGAAATAAATTACAGTATTTTGATTTTTCAATCTGAGAAACCTTTCTTCACGCCCACCTTTCTAATTTTTTGATGACATTCCACTAAAGCGGCTTCATTTGGTTCTTAAATTAATTTTTGCAAAAAAGCAGAAACTTTTCAGATACCTGCCATATATGAAGTCTTTCAAACAAATTTTCCTTCACTGTGCAACAATCTTATGAAACTTTGTCAGTCCCCAAAAGATATACAGCATGAAAATTTACTAGTCCACGAAACATTTTATGGAAATTTGCTTGTCCGCAGGCCCAAAATGGTTGGGTAACCCTGGCATAGAGCATAAGCAACAGTCACTTGCATCCGTATAAGACCACCGTTTTAATAAATAAAAATCAGTTGTACTCACTGCAACTGCTACGCGTAGCACCTCCACGTCAGCACAGCTTCCTTCTCTTTCCCTTCCATCCAAATTTTTTTAAGGCACGACGAAGTGAAACAAGGAATGACGATGACAGGCTCAGAATCTTCAAAAAATAAATTGCCTCAAACAGCATCCCTAAATTTTTTCGTCACTATATAACCTTTCAAACTTCGAGAAAAATCTTTCCAAAAATAGAAATCGACTCTCCTAAACTCTCACCTTAATCAAGATACACCAGCTCGTTCAGCAGAAGCTCCCTCAAGTTCAAGTATAGACGAAAAGAACATGACTGCGCACCCAGGAAATTCAAAACCCCGATCAGCTTTTATACCGGGTGTTTCCCCATCCGACGTCGCGACAGATTCCCGAAGATTAATCGATCCACTTTGCTTAGTAGTGCTTCATCTTCCTTGCGACGCCCCACATTCTCGAGGCCTGAAATAGAAGTAAGGAAAGATCCAGAAGAACTTGAGCAACAGTGAACAGTCTTGTTTGGAGGAAAAAGAGAAACACAGAAAAACCCCCGCTGAAGAGAAAAATCTACGAATTTTTTTCCTTGAGGGAAAAGGGAATGGAACCAGCTTGAATTTCTCCGCATGTTTCGTATTCGAAGAAGACTGTCAGATGGAAAACTGCGATGTTTTGCAAACAAAATGGAGTTATGGAAGCAAGAAACAAGAAAGAAGCGCAGGTGTGTTTATGCTGTTCCAAGGCAGCATTCAGATGGACATTGGTATGAAAAACAGCTCGCCGAATATGCGATACCAGGAGTGCCACAGCCCTATGAAAAATATGATTCAGAGGAACTTTAGTTTTACTGTATCAGTATTCATAAAATTGAAATGGAGACAACACGAGATTTGTGTTACATCAGGAAAGTGTCGTGGAGGCAAAATTTTTTTTTTCTACATTTTGATACCAAACAAAGGGAGCTTTTTATTTGCACAAAAATTAAAAATGTCAATTAAAGATGTGGAGGCTTGACCAAAATTTCTAGGCGTGTGGAAAATTTTTATTTTCCTACATTTTGATGCCAAACAAAGTGAGCTTTTTATTTGCAAAAAAATTAAAAAATGCATTTTCATCATAAATTTACTGTACTATATTTCATAATCCAGAACAGTCTGATGTTGTGCTTGTTGTTCCCAAGATTTTCCCATCATATGAGCACAGTACAGGTTCACTGTGCAATTCAATGTTCCGCAATTTGACAGTTGAATTTGCTGGGATGTTGACTTGCAATTCAACTGGCAGAGAAACTCAAAACATCAAATTTGATTTAGAAAACATCGAATTTGACATTGTCTCACAATTCAACCCCTTCACAATGTAACCCTTACCCAGCAATTGACTAGGGTCAAATTGCAAGGTAACACCTGTATAGGAAGACTTGTGCTTCTTTTCAGCCCAAAATATCAGATTATGTGTGGTTTTCTTCTTTGCTGTAATTTTTCTTCCTCTTGAAGTTGATAAAAAAAAGTTTATTTCATTCCTTTTTGGGGACTTTTCCTGAACTTGGATCAAGAGGAAAACCAAATGAATATACAGTACTGTATTTCCATTTAAATCCAAGGGAAAATATGATGTGACATATGGAACTTCCAACATAGGGACAAGGTCTAAGCAATAATTATGTCCACATCCTGGGGCCCCACTGCTCATCTTTCTTTGAGAAAGATTGAAACAATAACTTCAGGTGGTACCTTGCAATTTGACCCTAATCCATTGCCAGACTAGGGTTAAATTGCAAATTGGCCAAATTGTGAAATTTAAAAATATAAGTTAAAAAGCAAGAACAGTGGCCAAAGCAGGTTGAATTGCGGGGCAAGGGTTGAATAGCAAGTCAACCTCCCTGCAAATTTGACCATCAAATTTTGGGAGGTAAAATTGCGAGGTAAAATCTTTAAAACACATCCATTTTTCTCTTTAGAAAATCGCACCAACTTGAAAGAAATCTTTAAAATGCAGAAATGGCATGATGAGCAATAATAGACACAAGTCCGCACAAGTTGGAAAATCAATTCTGATTTTTCCACAATCAGCAAACAACACCGTTTGCATGAGGTCTAATCTGCCATGCCAAAACACAGAGGTATTACTGTTCACACATCAATCCAATCCTGGTTCTGCACAAGCATTGGCCAAGTTATCAAATTTTTGCAAATTCCACTCAGAACCACCAGTAATTCCAGTTCACCCATGCTCACAGTTTGGTTAACAGAAAAAAGCCTGAAGAAATTGTAAGTATTTTACCCTTTCCAAAAATTTGAATCCATTTTTCAATGCAGAAGTGTGTGCTGTTGTGATTTGGGGACTCATTCACTGACAAAATCCAGAAAGTTTTTCTGCATGAGTAACAAAAAAAATAGCAACCTAATGTTTTGCTTTGGATAGTTGACCCAGCTTTGGATAAAGAACTGCATGGAAAGTGACTGTCCTTCACAAAAAAATCAACTAGGGCATTGTGACTCTTCATCATTTTTCAAGTGGGTGAAAGTGTTTCATGGTCTTCTTTGTATTCAGAAACATAGTCATTCTTTTCTTGTTGGTGATATTCATAATTACTGCCCAGTAGTTTATGTTGATCATATATTTATTAAATTGCCCATTTTTTAAATAAGCTATGAAGCAGAAGCAATGATTCAGTCAAAATTGACCCAATCAAAAAATTCCAATGTGACACAATTACTTTGACCTCACCAAGTGAAAATCAGAGAGACACAAATCTTTTACTTGCAAAGTTTTAATTTCATTTTGGGGGAATGAAATTTATGGTTTTCTAAAGATTATAATAACTTCAGGGAGTAAAATTGCGTGATCTTGTGGGCCTCACATTTGCTGGGTGAATGAGTAGGCAGGATGCTAAACTTCAAAGCAAGAGCACATTCATCCAGTTAGCCACTAACTTTTTTGGGGAAAGGATTGCGTTACAAACTTATTGCTTGTCCATTTCTGTGGTCCGCATTTTTAGCCATCACAGAGTAATATCCCAAAGGCTTCAGGAAAGTTGAGCTAATGAGCTTTGACAGGGCCAAGCCTTTTAGTTGAGGAGATCTAGACTACAACATTCTCTGGGGAATTGGGACAGGGACAAATAACCCAGCATAAATTCGACCTAGGGAGGTTTCTGACCACAATTGAACATGTCTTTCAAATTTTAAGGGAATAAATTAATGAGCTTTTTAAGTTGGGGAATTTGGCTTCATTTGGTACCAAATTATCAGATATGTTCATTATTTATAGATGTTCTATCTTTGGGAAAATGACTCTTCCATTGTGGGGAGCACAAAAAATAATTGGCATACAGCTAGACTCTCTTAAACGATTTTTTAGCTGCTCCCCGGAATTTTTTTTTTATAGAAATAGTCCAACTGCATGCAAATTATCTCCTTTTTATCCCCCCTTCGATGGAATAGGCATGTTCCTGAAGATTGAACATATATCAAATGATAACAAGTTTTAATACAGTAATTTGGAACCCAAATGAAGCCAAGTTCCCTCACACAAGAGCTGTCTGATTCATTCTTTCCAAATTTGACATGGATAGGTTAAATTTTTATTGATGACCTTCCTGTGTGAAATTCATAATGAATCCCTATAACAAACATCACGGGTAGAGAACCCTATGGGATCACAATACAATTGTTATGCAGATAAAATTGTTGCAGAGAGAGTCAACCTGTATTCTTTTGAACAGGTGTATTGAAATTCAGCCCTAATTTCATAAAAAAAAGACCTTAAAATTTGACTGTGGAAAGTGTGATCTAAAAATTTAAAAGCTAGGAGGGGTTTAAATTGCCTTGAACTTGAGGAAATTGACCAGGCGTTGACCGGAAATTCGAATTCGGGAGGTTTTTGACTTTTGGATACTTGACTCCATGAGGTTCAACTATAATATTCAAGGAGGTTTGAGTAAGTGAGATCAAACTGCATATAGATACAGTACATCATCTCCACTAACAGCGCATCCTGAAAAGCTAACTGTGCAACAAGAAGTACAGTCAAACCTCGGTAAGCAGCCACCATTTGTTGAAGTTTGTGGCGGTTTAACAGGGATGGAAGTTCAAAGAGGTTTGGTCATTTATAAAAAAAACTAAAATACAGTACAGTAATACGAAAATCAAGTATAATGGCAGAACAATTCTTTATCTTCTAGAAAACAATCAAAATAACCTTGGGATGCGTAAATTAAATCTAGCAGATGTTCCCAATTGAGAAGTAAAACATGTCATCTTTCTGTTTTTATTTTATTTAATCATTGGAGACCACACGCAGAAACTTGACTCTTGTTGGTGGACTAGATCGAAAAAAAATCATTAATTGGCAGGAGAATGTTTGAGTTGTCAATAATTTGGCACATGACGTTTCAACAGGGTCTCCAATGATATTATCATTCGAGAATTTTTTTTTTTTTCATAATAAATTGGTGCTTGCCGACGACGGCGGATAATCATGGGCGTCTTAACGGGGTTCAACTGTACCCGTAACTGAATCCAGCCCAGTGGAAATGCCTTTCATCCCCAAGACGACATCGCAGGGAGCAAGAAGAAAAAAAAGTTCGCCTCCTACTACAAGAACTTAATGAAGGGAAGAGCATATCGAAGCACACACACACACACACCTTGAAAAAAGCAACAACAACAAAAAAGATACGGAGAAATCCCTGCCAACACCACTTGAAGCCCAATCATTCGCTGCGTGCGAGGCGGAATCCGGCTTCCGCTCGGGTACACGTATGCACGGGAAGATAGAATAAGCGGTCGAGCCGGTTCAGGAAGCGTGTCAACAGAGCCCAGGAATGTCCGCCACCTGAGAGATGCTCAATGTCGGGCCACAGTACAACTCCGAGGCGCACGGATCATGGCGGAAATGGGGACGAAACAACACCTCCACCCCCCCAACCCGGATGGCGGACTATCTTAGGAAATACAATTCCACATTCCCAGGTTTCTCTCACCTTGTCTCAGGCAAATAACGACGGTGGAAAATACGATGCAACGGGACCCAGACGCATGGAAACCCTGACAAACCTTGTACAGATGATTGAACTTACGGAAATTTGCTACTTGGAATAAAAAATCTGCCCCGAAATCCAGGCGATGTCCCAAGATAATGACACTTTGTAATGTTCCCAGATAATGGAAAGATTTTTAAATTTTTGATATCTCAGCAACAAAGTTAGTCCAATATTTAGAAAATTGAAAAAATTCACTGCACGGTAAAATAATCTAATTACAGTAATAATCAAAAACAGGTTCATTTTGGGTCTTCAGCTCTTTACTTGGAGAGTTTTCTCCTCACCATCTGTGCACAGTACCAATAGACTTCTTTGCTTGTACAGTGAGACCCCCACATGCGGACACCTTGACCTGCAGACAATTCGACATAGGGACACTTATTTTATCATTAAAAATTAATAAAAAAAAAGTCCCAACATGAGGACGCACATACTGACTAGACATAGGGGCATTTTGTTATAAAATTGGAAATACATATCAGGCCAAATTACAAGAAACAGATATTTCCAACCCTAAAATTGNTTGGAAATACATATCAGGCCAAATTACAAGAAACAGATATTTCCAACCCTAAAATTGATGCAAGAAAAGTTCTTGGGCATTTCTCTTACCAATTTACCATCCATTTAGCTGATTTAAAAAATACCTCCAGCATAGAGGGACTTCCTTCTCTCTCTTTTACTTGGATGTTATTTTTGCATTCAAAATTGGTATATACTGTACAGAGGCATCAGTACAGTATTCAATTCCTCAAATGTCTATAGTGTGTTGAAATATATTGATTGAATCAGTTTAAATTGGGAGAAAACTTTTATTTTCATGGAATTATGGTAAGTATTTTGTACTTAAAACACAAATTAAAAATTAAATGATATAAGTCTAAGGGAAAATGAGACTCGACTTAGGGACATTTTGACTTAGGGAAACTTGATTCCGTCCACATCTTGGTGTCTCGAGGTCTCGAGGCATTTCCGTTCTATTATACGAAGGCATGAAAAATATTTAATCAGTATGCTTATCTTCAAAAAAAGAAAAGGTCGAAAGAAAAAATAACAAAGTCTTTATACATATTTAAGGTTTTTCGCATGGCAATTTAAATAAGTAATTTATGATTTAAAATAATAAACCCCGACCTTTCATAAAATTATCCTACATATTTCTCAATTATAAACTACCCGTTTTTCCCTCATTATTGACAAATATAATACATTTTCGTGCTCGAAGTCTGTAATTTTGTTCGTTAATTTTACGAACCATTTTCGGGGTTTACTATACTTTGATGAACTTCTTTCCATTTTGAATCATGTAAATTATATTCCCAGCCATTTCCCTATGTCCGCATCTTGGGGTCTCACTGTACATTGCTTCTTCAGCTCTTTCTGACGCCAGAAAATCAGATTCTGCCCTGTTTTCTTCTGGACAGTTATTTTCTGCATCTTGAGTTGAGAACAATTTTTTTATTCAATTTTTTTGGGTCTTATTCCTAATTTTTGATGAACAGGAGGAACAGTTGAATATGTTCTCATTGAAGTCCATGAGAAAATGTGATGTTCTAACATTGGGACAAGGTTTAAGCAGAACTTACATCTGCATCTGGGAGCCCCACTGTACATGCTCAAACTTGGGATCAGTGCAATACAGGAACATTATCCATACAGTACAACAAAATCCAAGGGACCAGAAAAAACGTTTGTGGCACAGAACTCCTAAAACACATTGAGAGAACCTCATGGGGTCACACAAAAATTGTTATACAGAGACAATTTTTGTAGAAATATCAATGCAGAGCAAGAATCCACCTGTTATAAAACAGCAATCTCAGGACAAAAAAAGTCATACGATTGGAACTTGCTAACTCGGGGTCCCTCTGAATTTGAATTGAAGAAATTTTACTGTAATCCATAAATAATGCGGTCTCGGATAGGACAAGGGTCAGTTTCAATCTACATTATAAAAATCCATGAGAAAATAGAATATGCAAAGAAAAAATGACAATGACTCAAGTCTAGTGAAACAAAAATACTTCACAAGCCTCTCCAATGTTTGAGCAAAAATTAAAATAATTACACATTGCAAATGAAAAGTGAGTCCTCAAATTCACATCACTGAGGAGAACATGCATTTTGCATGCCATGAGTGATTAAGTCTTGCATGCTTCCTGAGCCACAGTCCCCTCAGACTCATGGATCTAAAATGTTGCTCACCTTGTTGGCATTGCAAAAAGCTTAGTTAATTCAATCTGTATGAAGCAAGTGGGTCCCTGAATACAAACCATTTGACTTACGAGGGTTCTAACAAAAGTTCTCGGAGTAGCAATGAAAATGGCCCACAGTTGAGCTTAAAATTTTTTTTTTCTTCGGGGAAAACATATTCTTTGGCACACAAAAAATATCAGCCCTGTTTGACAATTTATTTTTTATTTTTTCATAATTCACCCTGGCAGAGTTTTGCTCACTCAAAAGATGAGGCGCCCTTTTTTTTGTCGTAGCCCAGCTTTCCCCTCAGAATTTTCGAAATCAACTTGGCATTCTTTCTAATGGTTGCCTCCAGGTCATCCAAGGCTGATATTTTTTTGTGTGCCAAAGAATATGTTTTCCCTGAAGAAAAAAAAATGTTCAGCTCAACTGTAGGCCATTTTCATTGCTACTCCGAGAACTTTTGTTACAACCCTCGTATGGACACTTCATACCCAAAAAATCTGCCCCAACATCTGAAAAATATATCATATCAACACTGCCAAAATTTTCAGAGAAATTCAAAATGTCATTTTTCAACTTGTGATATTTCTTATACAAATTGAGCTGCTCTCATAAGAATGAAGTAAAAAGTGTATACAGTATTTTTTTTTTATGTATTCCAATTTCATTTCCCAGAATGAGGTAATTTTTTGTTTCTCCGTTTTCGGGTTTTTCCATGAGCTGTGTATACAGAATATCAGCGTGAGTGTGAATTTTTCTTTTACTTTCGAGCTCATTTTCTGTACCAAAAGGGCGTATCTTGTGCGGTTTTATTCTGAAAAGTTCTTTTCTGCGTTTCGAAGTTGGGAAAAATCATTTTTTTTTTATTTTGGAGCGACTATTTCCTTTTATTTAAAATATTTCCATTAAAGTCTATGGGATAATGTGATCTGACATGTGGACACTCTGGCTCAAGGAAAAAATCTGGGGAAAAATCACATCTGCATTGTACAGTATCTTGAGTCACCAAAGGAAACAATGTCACACTATTGATCAGCAATGAACCATGCACACAGCACAGTCACAATGATCGCACAGGCCAGTTTCACCAGTGATCAGTCAGGCGTACATTGTTCTGCATGATCACACAAGCGTCGACTTAATCATTTGTGGGTCAGTCTTCAAATAATATTTCAGCAACCCAAAGCGATGATTTCAATCTTTTGCATACCACTCGTGCGTGGCAGGCAATCAATTCCTGATATACAAAGGAATGCATACAAGATTTTGATATGGATACTGTGTTCAAAATGTTTAAAGAAAGTCAGCCACGTTCGCAGGCTTTTGAACCCTAATGCACACACCAATTCATGGTCCTTGGTACCCAGCAGGTGGTTACACAGCCAGCACTGTCATGCTTTGAGCATGGTACACTGTGAAAGCACCCAAGAGGGAAGCTACTCTTCCTGTAATCACACAACTGGTGCACATGGAATACTCCGGGATTACAAGTACCATATCCCTAAACTATCCCCACCCCCACCCCCCCCCCCCCCCCGGCGTTTATTGGAGACCGGCCATTATTCAAAATGTGCAACAAATAGTTGGACATCAAAAATGTCAAAAAAGGTAAATAGGAGGAATTATTCATTTCTTTTCAGGAAACTGAAAATCTCATTGATATTCATCATAGTCATTTTCAATAAGGTAGATTTACTGCCACTTTCTTCAATATCTATAAACTGTAGTAAATTTCAAAACTATGTTTTTCTTCTATATACAGTCTGAAAAAAATCTTAAAAATTATTTGATGACTGAAATGAAATGAGCAGTAAAATAGGAGGTAGGAATTTATTTTACTAAAAATAATTTTCCAAGATGAACAGTTATTTCCAATCTACTTTCACAAAAATGAAAATTGGGAATAAATGTTTATATGGATTGTTCAAATACTACATCTCAAAGTTGCCATCAGAGTATTCTCTGTGTGTACAGTATGTATTAAAATAAATTTGTTACAGTGATTCTGCCGTACAAAAACATACAGAACTATGTTTTTTTCCCACCATTCCTCCCCATGCTGAGACCATATACAAAGGTTGATTGATAAGTTTTGAATATTTTTGAAATACATCCAAAATAATTTCAACAATTACAACTTTTTGGTTTTTATTTGCATATCTGCATCATTTGGCAACACTTCAGTGTTTTTCAAATCAGTCTCCTCTGACTTCAAAGCATTTGTCTAATGCAATAAACCAAATGATCAAAATGTTGCCAAAATTGATTACTGCTTCACTTGATTGAGGTACTCTTTGATGATGGAAATGAAGCTGTCCTCAAAATCAATCTCTTTTGGATCATTCTTCACTTTCAGGAACATAAAGAAGTCACAGGGTGCATTACATTTTTTGTAATATTTTCTTTTATTTCAAGGACAAAAATGTTTTTAAAAATTCAATAGAGAATAGATTCTTTGACTTCTGCCTGTTCCCACAGTGAAGTATGATCTGAAAGGGATTGAATATCAGGACAGTGACTCATTCCCATCATCAAAGAGTAGCTTGAAAAACAAAGGCAATAATCAATTTTGGCACTGTTTTGATCATTGGGTTTATATTGCATGAAAAAAATTGCATTGAAGTCAGAGGAGACTGCATTGAACAGCGCTGAAGCTTTGAAAAATGATGGGGCTTTGACAAAAAAACAATAATTTGGAATTCTTTAAATTCTGTTGGATCTATTTTGAAACTTCTCAAAACTTTTGAACCATACCTCTTTCATGAAGTACACATGATGTCAAGCAGATGAGTTATTTGAAGACATCAAATGTGTGAAAATGTGGAATTAAAAAATAAATTTTTTGCATCTAGACAGATGATGAAAAAAATAATGTGCACAAAGAATTTAGCTTTTTTCTTGAACCCATCCCCCCACCCTCCCCCAACGACATATTTAAACACGTCAGAATAACTTCAAACATGGAGGACGACCAACGAAGGTATAGCGATGGGAAAAAGCATGCGACCGAAGTCATCCCAATAAATCCCTCGGGAAAATTCAGCGGCAACGTCCTACGGTAGTATAGATCGCCGTAGAAGGTCTTGTCATTTTCTACTGCCCGAATCATATTCTAAAACGCGGTAACTAATTCATCATGAACAGATTTGTACGAAAATATTTCTTCAAACAGTTTGAACGCGCAAATTAATTACGGCGAAGTATCATATTGGGCACGTTCACCTCTTAGCCATCAGTGATTTTCTCCATTCGACGACCCGGATAATGAATCACTCCGCTGAATAGGTGGGGATAATAATTCCGTTTGGAGGCACCGAAAATATCGTTTGAAAAGTGACGTCTTGAAACTTAAGATAATTTCTTTAATATTTATGGTCTTTGAATTCAAGTCGTCTCCGAAGGTTCCACGGAACTGACTCACTTCGGGGAAAGAGATCAAGGTCATCATCATCAAATCCTTTCGATCAACTACAAGTTCGGAATGATATACGGTTCCACATCCTTCCATTTCCGTTATGATGACTTGAAAGTCATCACAGCCAGTTTCCACCAGGAAAATCTCATGAGAAGCGTCGAAAACTTCGCGGCCACGCAGAACCATTGATGAAAGAAATCGTAACGCGTGAGGCGAATCCTATACATACAGTGCAGTATACACCACTGAATCTCTGCATTGGACTTCGAAATCCAATCCATTCAAATTCACTCGAATTCAAAGTCACTCGTTCCGATTCGTGTCCTAAATGCTCGAGGGGTTGCCGTAATTTCTTTGGACGAGTCGGGGATCGAAAGGCCTAGAAGACAGGCACCATTCACCAAGGTCAGAAATGCATCACGCTCGAGAAATCTCTGGCTTCAGGCTGATCGTCAGACAGCCTTCCCAGCAGCACTTCTCTCTTACATAACTGCGCCACGAGATGCGACCTGCTCCTTCTCCTCCTGACGTGGAACTGGAGAAAAGGCGCAGTATATAGCTCCATCTGAATAATTTCCCAACAGGTAAGATTGTGGAGCTCTCCGACCACCTCATGGAACGCAGATTAGGCATTCCAAGAGATGCGCCATATTAGATGACGTTGGTCTTCATCATCATTCAGCCTACAGGAGGGATGGCTCACTAATAGACATAAATACACTTCTTTTCTTCACAGCTCCATGCTTCTTACCGCATACTCCGCATATGGGCTTAGAACCATCAAGTGCGACTTATTTGTTACTTATCAGGTCTGCGATCCTATGTCGTGCCTACAGAAATCTTACACATACAGCTGCATTTAACAAGCAAAGCAGATTTCAGAACAGGTTAAACTCATGGTTTCAGCTAAAACTTGGAAAACAAAGCAGCAAATTGAAGCTCTTTGAATCATCTGTTGAAGATTCCTGAATCATCCACACCCTCAAAAAGTAGATGCAGTATACAGCCTTCCTCAAATTTCCTACCGAAGTGAGGAAATTGGTGCGCACTTTTGCTACACATATAATCACACAGGAAACCCCGTTGTGCACCGAAGTTTTTCTTTTCATCTCACGCATGAGCATCCAAAATTTGCACCAATTGTGAATTCATATAATCTTGGAGTACATCTGCAACCCTGCAGATTTAATCAAATTGTAAACAAAAATTTTGATTCAAAGTTATAAATTTAGCCCCAGGAAGAATAGCTCCCCACCTGGGTGGTTGATTTGAACGATTGCATTAATTGGCTATGTTTCTATCTCAAAACTTATGAACCAACCCTCGCATACAGACTTACGTAACTAATTCGCCATTGAAGAGCCAGCGGCAGTCGATAAAATAAGCAGAACTGTACGCGTGTGTCGGCCAACAAATAAAAGATTAAGAATCTGAAAGAATGCGTCTCGCGCATTAATTCAGGGGCGGCGGGTTGAAAAGGAATCAACACGCACGTCCTGCTCTCGTCCACGCGCGGAGATGCTCCAAGGCTGTTGTCAGGGAGCAGCCACACACCTGGTGCTCCTTCCTGACCTGTTTTGAATAAGTTGACTGGAGCTGTGCAATTTAGAAACGACGGCGTTCAATAAGCAGCAGCTTAAAGGCCGCGGGTTTCAAAACGAGTTTCATGTACATCACTGCTTCAATGATAAGCAAGTTGTCAAGTACTAGGCTGTACCACGCTGCATTTCTTACAGCTGTCCCCATTACACATTCCAAAACAGTGGTGAGCACTGTAGAACTACAGTGAGACCCTGAGGTGCGGACATAATTGGTGCATCAAGAGTGTCCCAAAGTCAAAATGTCCCTAAGTTGAGTCTTGTTTTCCCATTAACTTTTCTTACATCAATTTTAGGGTTGGAAATATCTGCTTCTTGTAATTTTTCCTAAAATGTATTTGCAATTTTATCACAAAATGTCCCCCATGTTGAGTCAGTGTCCTCATGTTGGGCCTTATATATTGATTTTTTCTGGGAAAATAAATGTCCCTATGTCAAATTGTCCACAGGTCGAGGCGTCCGCATGTGTGGGTCTCACTGTAATTTAAGGAAACGTTTTTCACTCACTCATGTTCAGAAATGAGGCCATTTTCCTTCTCGGGCATGGGCTGTGGGCCTGTGGCTAATTAAGTTCAGTACACAAGTAACCAATCAATTATTCATTTCAGCTGGAAGGGGAAAAATTGAAGAAAAAATTACACCTGGGAGGTGTAGAAGGTTTGAAAGTCGCCAAAAATGTATCTCGTGGAAGGATTAGATGAAAAGGGCTTTGACTTACCAACTATGTTGCTCTCTTGAACCAAGTTAAAAGATGATATATTTTCTCCTGATCGCAACTCACGGAAAATATTAGGGTTTACTTCTTGGGTAGAGGCAAAACACTTTAAATTTAAGGTGGGGTTTAAAGATAATGGTTAGGCTTATTCAGTGTCAGGTCTTACCCTTTCAAATGTACAGCATCATGACCATGAACGTAAATTCTTGGTTCCAATCAAAAAATATACAGTCAAACCCCGTTAAAACGCCCCCCCCCCCCCGATAAAGCGCCACCCTTGGCAACCTCCAAAATTTTGAATGAAACAAATCTGCTCCCTGTTAAATGCCATAGAAGACCTTGATAAGACGCCAGCATTAGTGATCAAACAAAAGTGCTGTTTCCTATTAGATTTGTCTTTGTTAAAATGCCAACACTGGGGTAGAATTATAATTTCTGTCAATAAGGATCTTGTATTTGTAAGAATAAAAAATGATCTTTTTTGAAAAATTTGAACAATATTGTATTGACCCAATCTTAAAATTTGAATGAATGCATGCAGCAAAATTATTTTGCTGAGAGGTAATTCATTGATCACAGCAATATACTCTGTGGAAAATTACTGAAGTTTTAGAAAACCAGTATCTCTATCACTTTTGGAGGAGAATCAAGTATTTTAGATCAAATAATTTACAATGAAATATTTGATAAACAGGCAACCCCTTTAAACCGCCAAAATTGCTCGGACAAATGGTGGTGTCTTATCAGGGTTTGACCATACAAATGTTGGCAAAATCCAAATTCCCAATCCAAAAAATGATCAACATGTTTGCACAATCCCAATTTCAATTCACCCTCCCAAAAAAATACCGTCACTTTCAAACTACAGTACATCAGTAATATTTTCCAATGATATTACAAGTCCATTGCAACTCAAAATGTGTTCTTTTGATTAACGCCTGGGCCATAGCGAATACATTTCACTGACCATGATGACTGCAGATGAAAGTACAATCCAATTTTTTTTTCAAGATGATCAGAAATTACAGTTCAATGAAAATGACAATTAGCTGCCAGCAGTATGGATGCCTCGTTATAAAACAAACGGAATGATTCCAGGACGTTCATGCATCAAAATGTAGTTCGTTCTTCATCAAACCATGTATAGTACAGTATTCTTTATTCTCCCTCTCCTCCATCAGTCAGAAATGGTAGAAACTCTGGTTCATTTCTTCCTGTTCCACCATTAACTTGAAATACTTTATAGTTTACAAGCTGGGGGTGCCCAGCCACACCTGGGCATTGGTCAGATTTTATTATATGTTAAAATTTTGATCAGATCACACATGGAAGAGAGCATGCCCAGTTGTGTGGCCCAGTC